AAATCGGAAAAACCTGTATATTCTACAGTATTAGAACGAAACTTAACTATTAAATTGTTGATGGGATGTGAATGAGTATTCCGCAGTCGGTAACGCCCGACTGCAACGTTCTTACTTGTTTTAAAGTTATTTTTGTAAGACAACAAATTGAAAACCGTAATGTAATTTTTAAAAACTTTGAAATATCACATTTAGTAGTTTTTTTTTAATGTCAAAGAACAAAAATGTTTTTTTTTTCCCATGTGAAAACACTTTCGTGTCAAACTGTATGTATGTACATATATACAGTGATTATGCTTTATTACCTGCTAAATAGCGCAAGTGCCCTGGACAAGCGCCCAAGCATATGATTAAATATATATGTATATGTACATATACATGTACATACTTACATACGTATTATACATCAAATGAAAGGTATTAATGCGTAGATCATATATATATATTTGAATTCAATTTTTATTTTCAATTTTTATAATAAAAATCAAATCATACTTCTTATTTTTGATTTTTATTATACAATTTTTTTTTTTTTAATATAACTATTCATGCGATTTCTGCGCACAATGCAAATTGCGATAGGGTTTTGTCCTTACTAAACACGCAGTGGTCAGTAGAAAAAATAATTTACTCATGGAGAATGCTGAAAACATACTTATCATTTAATTTAATGTTGTGGACATGAGTTGTTTAAAATTTGATAAAGAAGTGATGGATGAAAAAAGCAGTGCGGAAAAGTATAAATAAGTCAATAATCAATATAATAATAATAATAAGGTACTTCTACATACAAGTACTTCTAATGAAGAAGAATGAAAACACAACATTAACATGTAGCTATTGTTTTACATTAATTATAGTTCAACATTTTTATTTTCGAAATACCACATTACGCATTGATACTCAAACAAACTTGTATGTAAAAACACTTTTTAAAAATATTGCTAGACAACCAATTGCAATTGTCGCTATTTAAGCATACGTAGATACAAAATAAAAGATTGCCTTTAAATAAAATAAAATTTAATAATTGTATTTGAAAGAAAGGGTTTAGATTGGAAAATGATATATTATGTACCGCATACATTATAATCTGCACTAATCTTAATTTGATACTGTTGTCAAATAAAAGCAAAAAAAAAAATATACACATATATAAATAAATAAATAAGCACATAACTTGAAAACTAGTTGCAAACATTTCAATCTTCTGTAAATTTCTTAAGAAAATTGCTTTTCATTTTTGGATCTATGTTTGTTATCTTTGTTTTACTATTATTTTCCGCTTGAAAAACATTTAAATCGCCCTCCAACGTGGAATAAGTTGTTGGCTCCTTGTATTTCTCTGCCAGGGTATGTACAAGTTTTTCTTCGGAGGATTCGGGAAACTTTTCAATATCCTTCTTGTTCAAAGGTTTAATTAAATCGTTTTCTACTTCATTTACTAAATTTAAATAAATTGAAATATATATAATGCAAATATATAATAAATTTGAATATATATAGAAAATTACAAATTTTTTAGATTTGTATCCCTTACCTCTTGGTTCTTCAAGAATTTTTTGCATAATTTCAGGAATCGGCGTACTAATATTATATTGGTATTCCTGCGAGTCTTCGTTGACTTCTATTGGCGTTGAAGGAGGCGTAGCACAAGACTTATCTAAAATATCATATAAATACATATATAATTTTAATTAATTGAATATTTMTTGTCTCTTACCATTATTAGATTGTTCATTGCTTCGACACAATTCTTCTTCGTTACTTTGCTGCCCAATGTTCAATGTTTCATTCAGGCCATCCGCTAGATATTGCATCAAAGTGTGGTCATGCTGCATTCGCGTCGTGGCCAAGCCACGCTCCAGTTGATCTGTGACCAGTTCTAAGTTAAAGATGCACTTTTCAACAATGTCTTCACGTCCGATTTTGTTTAAAGCCTGCGACAAGGTATTGCCAGTGGCGCGATTGCCCTCTTGTTTTAGCCATAGACGTAGCATGACCAAGCCCTGTTGTGCAACAGGTTGATCGGCGTACTCAGTTTCAACCAGGTTGATGTCTATCTCGGGTACACCCAATTCTTCAGCAAGCTGCGGCCAGTCACTACCCAGCAGATTCGATATGTCTGATAAACGGATATTGGCACGCTGTATTTCATCTTCTAACGGATTTATATTTGAATTTCCTCTTGATTCTGTATTACATTTTATTTCCGCATTGATTAAATCTTTGTAGTTAAGGTCATGATCCGTATTATTATTTCCATTAGTACTGATGCCATTCGGATGTAGTTTATCTCGATTTAATTTTTGCGATTCAAGTGATACATTCAGCGTACAAATTGGCCGCAACGGCGCCTCCCCTGATGTTACTTTCGGCTCGCTCATAAAGGAAATACGTGCGTGTGGTTGTTCTTGATCTTTAATATAAACTATGAAAGAGAGGCGATTTTCACGAAATGCTTGAAACTTTGTGTTCAGTTGTTCGCCCGATTTTAAAACCGGCACCAAATTTCCGGCAAACTCTAGGTAAATATTTTGATCTTGCAATACCTCAACATCCCGACTCTTTGCTACTTCGGCAAAATACTCTTGCTGTTCGAGCGTCTTATCCTCTTTATCATCTGTCATACAAAAGACAGATAATTTTGCTTCCGTTGCGGATATTTGTTTTGCAAATACTACAAATTTTACCATAAACGGCACCTTTGCCATATACGTATAAAGTTCGGTTGCCATGCGACCGGCGTCCGCAACATTGCGACAATCCATTAGCCAAAAACGTGCCGATACCGTTGTTGTAAAGCTAACACTATCCTTTACAAATGCCAAAGGCGTCGAACCAGTGACGTCCTCCCATACAGCACGATTTTGTCCACCTGTTATAGAGCACAACAGTCGCAGAGTAGGGGCACTTACGTTTCCATTCGTGGCGTTATATGGTGAATTTACCATGCCTTGATTGCAAGTTTTTGGCGCCGGAATGCTTAATGTGATGGCCTTGTGAAATTTTCGCCGCCGTGGCTCGACGGTAACGACCGGAGATACAGCAACGCCCTGACCTAGTAGCTTGGAACAACCAATTAAGTCCACTGGCTGTGCCTGAAGACCAACTCGAATCTTCTTTGTTAATGCATGAGGTGGAAATATGGACTGTACCTGGGGCACAGCTATAGATGATACAGTACCACCATCTGGTCCTATTGTGTGCACCTCCTGGCGAACGCGAGATACCACAGCAAAAAAATGTGGCACATTTTGTGTGACGATTCTTATAATTCGACTGGTGTGTAAATCTTCCAATGGATTAACATCAGATGCCATCGTTTCTTTTAAGGTTTCGAGTAAATTACCTTCGTCTTCATAGACACTATGTTCGCGCCAACTTTCGCCATTGTCCGATCTCAAAATGATTATTTCACGCTCTTTGTCGCGCAGCGATCCAAAATGCGGCACCTCCAATACAATAGGGCTTCAAAATGTAATATCCATTTAGTATCTATTATATTTTAAATACCAACTAAAACCTAATTTACGTACCTTAGAAACTTTCC